AGTTAAAGCCATATCGCACTTTTCCAAAATCATTGTGATAATGCATTTGCGCCACGACCACGACCAGACAAAAACCATCTTTCTATAGGTCGGAAATTATATATTAAAAATGGTTATCAACATTACCTTTACATTTTTTGTCGCCCTCCACAAGCTCACATATCTCCCCTGGCAGTTTGCATTCAGCGTCATAGAGGCAAGGAATTGGAAAGGCGTTGGTCATGTACATTGCCAATTCAAAATCCACCATACTCTCTGGGGACGTCTCCGCACTCATGTTATTCAACTCACAAGTCTTTGCCTTTCGGTAAAAGTTTATGCTTTTACAATTGAGATCCTGGCCGCAGAACATCACGCAAGATTCCATAGTTGAAGATGGTTTGGTGGTGAATGCGTGACCTGTTAGAATGCGATTTGCAATGGAGTAGGTTGCGTCTTGGCATTGCGTGACTGATGATAACGTATCACGTAATTGCCAAAAGACCATCACAAAGGAAGTTGCTATGACGCCTTTGGGAAGCATAGTCGTTGTTCTAGAGTCAAAATATACGAATTAAACCATTTAAAAGAAGTTAAACTGACGATTGATTAATATTTTTGCTCTGAAAAACTGTTTCAAATTTTCACCGAACTCCTTTGTAATGCTAGAGAAAAAATGCTGTCTTAAGAATCAAAATCATTTAATTTTAGGAAAAGATGTTTTTACGGTGATATTTTTATGGTGATATTCCATGTCTTCGTGGACGAAGCTCTTAGTATTGCACTTATTAGGGGAAGAATAACATGGTAAATTCGAGACATTTTCCTGCGAACAGATTCTTTATTTTAACGCGCGAAAACTGATAAAAGCGAACATGAAAAAAAATGTAAAGTTTTTAGTTTTCCCCTTTCGAAGTAACTGGATTAAAATAATAACTAAAGAAAAGCATCGCTTGTGGGATTGAATAAGATCAATTAGATTAAAGGATTCTTTCTTGAACATTTTTAAAATCAATACCCAGGTATGAACATGAAGCGACTGAAGATAGATCTGTACAAACTCAGAAATGAACTTTTTTGGATGGTATGTAAGTCTCAGGCAAAAGTTTGAAAAACTTATTTGAAAACTTCGCCAATTGAATGTGTTATTCTTTCAAGTCTTTTTAAGAAATGCGCAAGTTTAATGCTGCTGCAGAAGTTTTTCCATAAACTATTTGCTAAACGTGAATTTTTTATGATTTTTTTTTCTTTTTTTGCTGTTTTCACTATTCTTTGTTTGATAGCAATTTATTTTCGCACTCCAATGCTCAACAGATACTTCGAGAAGGCTTGGTCCATTACATAACTGGTCAAACATATTTTTCCTTATGGAACTCATTTTCAAAAGGAGCTACGCTAAGGTTCACACAATCCCCGTCAATCTTTTTATCCTTTATCAAAGAAGTTCTTTTTCTTCTTACTTAAAAAAAAATAATTATAAAATAAGGAAAAAAGAAACAACTCCACAAATTTACACGCAGCCTCTCAATCAGTCATACGATTAAATGGAGTTTCAGATTTACAGTAACTTGTGTAATTGTAAAATCACGTCTAATAGAAAGGGAAACCCAGCTTTACCTTCGCTGTATCTTTTCCTATCCAACTCTATTTGCGAGTGATTCTCATTCAAGGGATCTCCTCGTCAGATAAAGAAGTCAAGAAGTTATTTGGGACACTTATTAAACTTAGTAAAGGTAAAGCGCTTAAGGGTGTCTTTCATTAAAGAATGCAAACAAAGCATTATCAGGTGTTGAATCCTACTGAGGACTATTTGATGATTATTCATAATTTAACACAGCTGACAAAGCAAAAGAATGAATACCGCTAATTACACTTTGTTTTTTACATCAAAGGTGACGATAGCTTGGGTTCTTCCACTCGAAATTAAGATGATACAAATAAAACCTCAGTAAAAAAAAACTTAAACTTAAAGATAACGTTGAACCTATTACGATCATGGAACCTTCCTGTGTTTGTGCAAGAATTCCTGTTTGATCCGAGCTCGCTTGTTGTTTTGACTTTATTCGGTCACGCTGTTATTATTTGTCGCTCTCAGTCTGTAAATTAAAAAGAATAAAATGATTATTCTGGCTTGTCCTGGTTCAGCAGGTTGTAAGGCATAAAAATAAGGTCTCAATGAATTACAGGAAACTTTAATAACTTCAACGGTCGTTGGGGTTGAGTTACAAGACGAACGAAATTGCAGAATAAGGAAAGGACCGAGGTTCAGAGCCAGATATACATGAAGTTATTCTACTCTATAACAAGCTGTGTAATAGGCGAAGTTCCGTTGATCGACCTACCCTTTATTATGATCATTTTGCAGGCCTATAACCGAATCGCCCACCAGGGGGAATGGGTTCCCTGGACACTTTTATCAAAACATTTTGTATCGTCATTAGTCTCTCGTTCTCTCTCTTAGTGAAACATTTGCATTTCAAAACAGATTTCTTTAAAAACTTTTCAGTTTTGCGTGAAAAAAGGCATGGTATTGTGAAGAGAGAATCCCCTCTTGATCTTGTTAATCTTTATCTTATGGCATAAAATCTTCCATCAACTGAAAGCTTGAAAAATACAATTCGGGAACGATGTAAATAATTTGTGTTATACAAACGTGTAAACTTTACCCAAAGTTATGACTTTTAAGAAGAAATGCAAGTGTTTTTCGTCCTACAACTCAAGCATGCACGCCTTAAACTAGAAGCCCTGTTGTGGATGTGAGCCGTTTTGTTTCCTCCCTCCTCTTTCTTTCTGCTACTTGATCGCTAGAGTAAATTTTTGTATGCATTCTGTTACAATAGAGACTAAGAAATGGCTGTATAAAAGAACTTCTTATCTTAAGTTTTATTCCCATTCCGTAAAAATGCTGATAGGAAAATGCTCTTACTTAACTCCAGCCCTGAATACTATCCGAGATGGACGTTCATGGCACAACGGGAGAGTTTAATGAAGGAGACAGGTTTAACTAGTTCTGTTAGAAAATTTATGTTTGTCTGTAGTTCAATCAACAGAAACACTATTTTCTTCTGGACGTTGAACTCCTACACGGGTCCATTCCTCCTATACGGACCAAAGTGAAGTCCCCCCCTCCCCCCCCCCCCCCAACACACCACACACTCCCAAAGGAAAAGAAAACAAAAAGAAAGAAAGGGTATTGATGGGGGCCTAAACATGTTGTTTTTGCTTGAACGTCATAACTTTGTGTGCTTCAATAATGTCACAATTAACCACTCATCTCCTTATCATAATCTCAGTGAAAAATGACTGATAACTATCGGCGTCTGCACGCAAAGATTAGCTTTAGGCTATCTCCATACATTTTCTCCAGGAGAAAGTTACAGCGATATTGGACTTTTTCAAGACCATTGTAATTATGCCCTTGTTCCACACTCGTGACAACACAGGAAACAGTTAAAAAATAGTTATGAAAGATATCAGCGTTACCTTTACAGTTTTCCCAGCTCTCCACAAGGTGGTATATCTCCTCTGGCTGTCCACATTCAAAGTCAAGGGAAAAAGAAACTCGGAGAACGTTTGTCAAGGCAGGCATATGGTGAATTCAAAGTCCAACATGTTCTTTAGGGACGTCACTCTGGTCGTGTTATTCAACTCACAAGTTTCCGTCTTCGATAGTAGTCTATGCTTTTATAATCGAGTCAGAGAGTCAGAGAGTCAAACAGTCAGAGAGTCAGACTGTCAGACAGTCAGACAGTCAGACAGTCAGACAGTCAAACAGTCAGACAGTCAGGCAGTCCGACGGTCAGACAGTCACTCAGTCACGCAGTCAGAAGGTCAGAGAGTCGGACTGTCAGGCAGTCAGATGGTCAGAGAGTCAGTCAGTCAGTTAGTCTATTACTTTTCCGGTAATTAATTATTCGGTTAGCCATTTGATTGGCAAGCCAGTCTGTAAATTAGTCAATCAGCCACGTACTCAGTCGGTCAGCCAGTCAAACAATCAGTCAGTCAGTAGGTCGATAAGTTAGTCAGTTAGCTAGTCAGTTGGTCTTCTGCAGGTTAGTCAGTAAGTAAGTTAGTCAGTCAGTCAGACATTAAGTCAGATAGTCAGTTAAGCAGTCAATTCATTACTCAGTAAGTCAGTCAATTAGCAAGCTAATCAGGCGTAATATAAGTTAGTCAATCGGCCACGTAGTCAGTCAGTCACTCAGTCCTTTATTTATTCGGCCAGTCTGTCACTCACGATCAATCAGTCACATACACCTTCATTTAGTTAGATAGTCTGACGATCACTATTGTTTTTGATTGAAGCAATAATTTGGAAAAACATCCGTTACGAAGTACGGAATGGAATATATATCTGAAAGCAACTTGAAAAACACAAGCGAAATAACATAACTAGCAAACCACATTTCAACATTTTTATGTTATGAAATGATGCCAGGCGAAATGACGCGACGAAGAGAGGAGAGAGACCTAGGAAAAAACGAAAACGGCTCTTCTTCCAGACTCTTTTTTCGTTTTTCTTTTCATTTCTCCTCATTGGTGGTGCTATTGTGCCACTGTTTCCCAGTTGGAGCAGGCGGGTTAAAAGATGATTTAGATACCAAAATAATCGCGGGATGCAACTTGCCATTTGAAAGAGGAGAAAATATTTGCAAACTACCAAGACATTTTTCAAAAAAATAGCACCATGGTTTGTATACGTTTTCGTCTCGATGTTATACTAAGGATTTCTGAAACGTGCACTTGCACATACATATTTTTATCTACGTGTTGTCATTTTAGTTAAACGTGGTGTTCTTGATTCTATATGTCATCCGTCGTGATAGTATGAAGCGACAGAAAAAAACACGTACCAAACCATGTGTCATGATGATAACTTATCATGAAAATGTCCACACACAAGAAGTTGCGGTCACAGCGTTAATGCTTTATTCTTGCCTCAAACATGGGTATATTGCATTTCTACCGCTAATTATTTTAAAACATATTCATGATAATCCCTACACGCATAATTCCACCAATAAAGTACGAATGATGTTTCTATAAATGATCATCAAACTCTAAATTTTTTTTCCTTAAACCGTATTGACCATATGTGCAGATTTTAAAATGTTACAATAGCAGTGACATTCATTATGGTATAAATATTGTCTCTTGACATAGCTTTCGCTACTCAGATTCATCGCGTACTACTGATTTAACTACTTGTTGCTTGAATTCATTTCCTGGTCAATTGCAAGTTACGAATTTGCCTTTCTAACTGTATCTGGGCCGGAGCAGTTACTGAAAGAAACAGCCGTACAACTCTACCCTCATGGCTCTGTATTTTTTGGTCCAAGTCTCGGGCCAGAACCTGACGAAACGAGCCCTGATGTGCTGCGGCAACACATGGGATACCACCGTTTCCTGATCATTGTTACCTTGAAATACCTAAAGTTGCCATAAAATGTGATAAGAATCACAATAAAACTTTGGTCAGAATTATTGAAATATTTCTTTTTAAAACCATTTTGATTGTGTATAGCGAGAAAATTGGACCATGCTCTTAAAAAAAATCAACCTTGAAAGGAGCGGCATGTTATAACAAAAAAAAATTTAGGGTTTGTATCTAATTGATTGATTTTCAGAGAGCAGTCGTGTAATTCATCAATTCGTTCATCTATTTTTTATACTTAAGGATCACGCATAAAAAAGGGGAATTCAAGCTCCTTCACACAAGTGTTGACAATTGAACAAAAACTGTAGGAAACCTTCCATGAGCTCTCTCCGGGTCCGGAATAGAGAGAAATGTGACTTTTAGGCAACTATCTTTTCAAATACTTGATTTTAAGAAATGAATCAAATTCCAAAGAAAGGACTCGCCTTCACGTCTTCGTTCTCTCTATACGCCAACCAATCAGTCTCTTCGTTGGCACGTGATGAAAGCGTGTAAGTCTTTACCCACATTGAATATTTACCGGGTCTCCCCTGGGTAGCGATTTTCTTGATTACCGCGTCCCTTCCGAGGTCAATTTGAAGCCAGGGTTTAGAGTCATTGTAGGCTGCCATCCATGACTCATTTGAGTTGAGACGAACCAGACTGGGAAGTAAACCCCCGTGCAAAAACGATGAAGCATTTATAGATGAATCTGGAATTCTTCTATCTTCCATACCAAGAGCCTCCATACATGCTTTTAAAAGAAGAGCAACTGATCAAAGTTGCTTTCCTTACTGACATTGTTTAATTAATGGGAGTATGTCCCTGTCTCATTTACATCTGTAGAAGCAAACACTTCATCCTTCCCTCCTTCCCTTCCACTCTCCCCACCAGAAAGAAAAAAAGAGACGTGCAATAAAAGCTACATCCTGACGCATACAAATGGCCTAAGAAAAGTGTATGGTCGCTCGTACCATTCCACCATGCAATACTTTTTTCAAATAAATGTACCGGTCGTACTGAGAATAGTGCTTGAAAAGAAATTTGAACCACGAAGGTAACAATTGTAGAATTGAGATGCTATTTCTTCTAAAAAGACAATGGTTTTTAGTTTACTGTCGATTCAGCAGTATTATGATTTCAGAAGATGCAGAAATTTGTCATTCTAACCTTATTTGCTTTATAATTTGCGTAAAAGCTTGCAGTAGAACTGTCAGCAATTTTCTAACATATCAAATTTCTCTTTGCGGAGTGATTTAACTACAAAAAGTATCAATATTAATGACAATGACAAAATCAACAGCAGCAACATTGCTCTCGAAAGATATAGAAAATATCTTCCAAATATAATTCCTATTTGCCCCAGTTACATGTACATGACGTTTCTAATTAAGAAGATAATTGTTTAAAAATTACATAAAGATTACCTTTACATTTGCTCCCGCCCACCGCAAGCTGGCAGATCTCCTCTTGCTGTTCACATTCAATGTCGTAGTTACACGGGACTCGAAAAGCGTTGGTCATGTACATAGCTGATTCAAAAACCACCATATGTTCTGGGGATGACACCCGGCTCATGTTATTCAATTCACAAATCTTTGAATTTCGAAAGTAGTTTATACTTTTACAATTGGGATGCTCTCCACATAAAATCACGCAAACCTCGATGGTTGCAGATGGCCTTGTGGTGAATGCGTGACCTGCCAAGATGCGATTTTGAATGGAGTAGGTTGCCCCTTGGCATTCCGTGACTGAAGATAACGTGTCACGTACTTGCCAGTAGATAATCACAAAGGAAGTTGCTATAACGCTTGTGAGAAGTGTCATGATTGTTCTAGAAACAACTGGAATAAACGAAGAAGAAGAACAGAAACTACTGGAGTTAATAAAAATAACTCCTCTGAAAATCCTCAAGAGATGGAGATGTTTTCAAAGTCTCAGCAAAATAGAGCACGCTATTGTTTCGTCTAGGGAGGTTTGGTTGGGTGATCTTCATTCTGTTGCCGATGAAGCTCTGAGCGCTTTGCGTTATTAAAGAAGTTTTACATGGCAAAAAATAGACAATCCAAGTATAGTATACAGGGGAAATTCCATTAACAAAAAAAAAAAAGAAAAAAAAACGAGAAATTTCAGTACGAGCGCATATTATGTTTTGTTCTTCGTAAGAAATAATATCAAACGAAATCTATTCGAGGACCGTAAATTGGATTACATTTCCACTTTTCGTCTTTTCCTTTGCGTGAATAATTGAAACCTCGTGGGTTTGTGTACTTTATTATGACATAGTTTGTCGCAGGGTTAGCTTTCTCGAACTGTATTAAGAGAGGATGTCACCATCCATCGCACAAATTTGAAATATTGTGACAAGTTTTATCAGCCTCTAGTAGCTTGTGCAGAAGGGCCCTTTACCACCGTGTGCATAATTACGCGTCTCGCCAAACCGTGGAAGCCAACAAAGTGTTCAGACATTAGTATAGAAAACTCCGCCTCTGTCTGGATTTTGGTAGCCCGGCTAGGCCATAGGCTATTGACCGATTCCCAATCGAGACTTAAGTCTGACGGGACGCGTAATTTTGCTCTCGGTGGAAAGTAGCCTACTTATTACCGGAGCCAGGCTGTATGCATTTTCTAAACATCTTGAGTACTACTTGTGATACACGCTTGCCAATTCCCCTATCGGCTTTTGGAATCGACTTAACCTTACCATTGCAATGGCCAGACACCTCCTTAGGCACTCTATATTTCCTATTGGAATCACAACTCTACCCAACATCTATGTGTGGGGCAAATTCTAAAATCATCGATATCTGTTAGCGTCTCGAAGAAGAATAAGATCGAACAAGATCAACTTCATTTTCTGGATCTGAAAACTTGCAACTCTGCAAGTGACTTGACATGTCTTTTTTACAACTATGCAAGGGAATGACTTGAGATATGCAACTTGGCTCTTCTCGATAACTAAACCCACAAGTTCCACCTGGGAACGATTTAAATGAACAGCAGATCTCCTTGTTAGCATGTAAGATGAGACGCTTAGACAACAGATAATTACTTAAATCAGTATGTAGCTTGTCGATCAAATTGACTTTTATAACCACTTTTTGACTTCGGCCGGCAAAGGAATCATTGATGGATCTTTAGTTTTCTAAATGCAGTAGTTCCTGAAAGGTTTTTCTAGATATCATGCCTTTCAGAACGCATGCGATTCCATATTTCGCGCACTCTAACATCCTGCCAATAACAATGCTCTACTTCAAACTTTCGTCAATCTTAATGCTTGATATAACCACTAACTCTGCACCTAAAAATATCTGCAATCTTTTTATTTCTACACAAGACATACATCAGTATAATACCCGATCAGCATCTTCTGGTAACTACTATATTAACTATTCTAGGCTTGATCATCATAAAAACTCTTTTTCTATCGTTGGGGCTAAAATTTGGAACAGTATTCCCGAAAGCTATCGAAGTCTGCCGAAGCACATATTCAAAAAGAAAATTCAAGCATTACTATTTGCAACTCTAGGAAGTCTGGATAGTTATGCTGACACTAGCACTCTTATTTCTGAAATAAAAAAGGCATCTTAATTATAATTCAAACATAATATATTAATTTACTTTTTATCACCTTTTCCCTCTTTTGTCAAATAATGTATGCAAAATCGAGTAATTCGCATAATTCGTGTTTTTGTAATTCGTGTTGTATGTCCTTAACACCGCCTGCCTAGATTAGCTCGCTATGTACAAAGATTTTCCTGCAAACTTAATAAACTTGAACTTGAACTTGAAAAAAAAACTTGAACTTGAAAGCAAGTTTTATTTGACTTGCCGCTGTTTGTCTGATGCATGCTGACATTAGCTCTTAAAATATTTATAAAGTTTTAACACCCAAGATGAAATTTTACGGGTTCTCTCGAGACCTTTTTTTTAATTTAAATGAATCCCTTCGTTCTGACTTTCCTGGAATGAGCAAATTTAATACTTCTTTAAAACTGAATCCAAGAGTTTACAGGAAAATTGAGATTGTTTGAAAGATGCTTATCTATTTTAACTGTTCTTCAAATGCTACAAAAAACATTTATTCTTGGGTGTCGATAGCTTAAACTTTAGACGGTAATGGACATGTAGTTGGAGAAAGCTTGATCTCTTTAACAACAGGTCATGCGTGTTTGAATTTGTCCACTTCGCCCTTCTGTTCGTTTTAAAAATGAACTGCGTTGAGCTTTGTGCCTTTTGTGTTTCTCTTCTTCATCCTAAACCATTCTAGTTCCTTTTCTGGCCCTTTCTTCTATCAATTTTAACAATTTTGGTGTTTATCTATTTTACCAAATTTATGTCTCGCGTTTTCCTTCTACAAAAAACATTTATTCTTGGGTGTCGATAGCTTAAACTTTAGACGGTAATGGACATGTAGTTGGAGAAAGCTTGATCTCTTTAACAACAGGTCATGCGTGTTTGAATTTGTCCACTTCGCCCTTCTGTTCGTTTTAAAAATGAACTGCGTTGAGCTTTGTGCCTTTTGTGTTTCTCTTCTTCATCCTAAACCATTCTAGTTCCTTTTCTGGCCCTTTCTTCTATCAATTTTAACAATTTTGGTGTTTATCTATTTTACCAAATTTATGTCTCGCGTTTTCCTTCAAGAAGAAGGTAATTTTGAATTTCGCCATAGACAACGCCAAATATCATTACATAGCGCCTCTATTATTTTTCTCCATCATGCAATAAATGCATTTTTCGCTTTAAAAGTTAAGCATGAAAGTCAGATAAGATCTTATATATATAACGAAAATAACCTCAATACGCAACCTCGGTTACCTTAGCAGAGTTTTTTCCTCTGCATCTTCACGTCTCAGTAATTCTCACGTACGGTTAGCAAAGAAAGACAGCGATTCCTCGACAGATGAATAAAACTGAAATATATTAAGCCCAGTGGTGTTTTTATATGAAGAATACATGGTATTGTTTTGTGTGAGAGTGCACTTATGGTAAAACTGTCATATAATAATCTATTATTCAACTTACCGACCAAATTGAATACGCCATCATCTGGATCTCAGGTTTTCTCCACCGGAGAGCTACCGAGCTATATATAGCCTTAGTTATCATCGTATTTTCATCTTTTTTCTATTCTTTAACAGCATAGGTTAACCCCTGATTTTGGTGAAAAAACATAGAAATTTAACCGCAATGAGTCAAATCTAAACTTTAAACAAAATAACTATCAACCTGGAGTATATTTTCAATTTGGAATCGCCAGGAACCTCGCAACTATTTGTGTCTGCAATATCCTATTTGAATTAATATTCTGAGCTGTACTCGCCTCTCATGTTTTGAAATTACATTTTACTGGTTCATTTACCAAAGGGACTGTACAAAGAATAAGGACAAGTTGAAAAGGTATATAAATACACTGGCTTCTTCACTCAGCTATGCACGCACTATGACTATCGCAGGTGTTTCTCAACAAAGAGCAGTTAAATAATTAAGGGAGCCTTTCTTAACTATGCCCAGGGCATAAAAACTATTTACAATTAGATTTGAAAAGAATTATTAAACAAACACGTAGGTTACCTTTTCCACCAATTGGGAAGCATACCTAAAATAAAATAATGACGAGTATGAAATATTAAAAGTATTCGTTGCTTGTAATATCTGCCACGAAACCTTAGCTGGCTGACAGAACGAAGTTAAACAAGAAAAGCGGTGGGATTTCTCTCAGAGCTAAAATAAGTGGATAGGTTCTATTTGTAGAGAATCTGAGCTGACTCGTTCTCATTTTTAACTTTCGTTATCTTCTGATAAACTTTTTTGTATTGTATTAAGCCTCAGATGAAAATTTCAAAATCTTCGTTGAAAACTTCGCCTATTGAATGTGTTATTCCTTCGAGTTTGTTGAGAGTTGCGCAAGTTTAATGCTTCTGCAGAAGTTCTTCCAAGACCTACTTGCTAAACGTGGATGGTTTATGATTTTGTTTTTTGTTTTTTGCTGTTTTCATTATTCTTTCTTTGATAGAATTTTATTTTCGCACGCTAATATTAAGAGGTACTTCGGGAAGGCTTGGTCCATTACATAACTGGTCAAACATATTTTTGTTCATTGGATTCATATTTACAATGAACTACGCTAAGGTTTAAACAATCCTCGTCAATGTTTCCATCCTTTAACAAAGAAGTTCTTTTTCTTCTTATTTAAGAATATAAAATAAAGAAAAAATAATTTGTAGTACTTTTCAAGACCTCGGTCACAGTTTTTCTCCATACAGACCTCCCAGCCTGCAAATAACATATATTTATTTCTTCTGAACATTGTACTCCTACAAAGGTGCATTTCCCCTATACGGACCAAATGGAATTCATTCCCAATCCCACCCACCCTCAACACACACCCACAAGAGAAAAAAAAAGAAAGAAAGAAAGAAAGGGTATTGATGGGGGCCTAAACAAGTTATCTTTGCTTGAGCGTCGGAACTTTGTGCACTTCAATGATTTCACTATTAGCACCTCATGTCTTTGTCAACTATCAGCGTCTGTACTCAAAGAATAACTTTAGGCTATCTCCATACATTTTCTGGGGGATACAGTTATAACGATATTGGAATTTTTCAAGATCATTGTAATTATGCTCTTGTTCCGCACTCATGACAACACAGGAAACAGTTCGGGAATAGTTTTGAAAGAAATCATCGTTACCTTTACAGTCGTCCCCGCTCTCCACAAGGTAATATATCTCCTCTGGCCGTCCACATTCAAAGTCAAGGTAACAAGGGACTCGAAGAACAGTAAGAACATTTGTCACGGCATATATATGGTAAATTCAAAGTCCAACATGTTCTCTAGGGAGGTCACGCTGCTCACGTTACTCAATTCACCAGTTTTCGTCTTTCGATAATTGTTTATTATTTTACAATGAAGACGCTGGCCGCAGAATATCACACGAGATTAGATAGTTCCAGATAATTGGTGCCGTTGTCTTTGCATGCTCGAAACGCTAGGACTTTGTGTTTATTAATGATACTGACATCTGACAATAAGAATTCATTTTGGGTTCTCTTCAATTGAATTCCGTAAAAAGTCGCTCAGACAATCGGTCAGTTGGTGAGTTAGCGTAAGCCGTAAGGTTGTCAGTCAGTCAGTTAGACAGTCTGAAAATCAGTCAGTCAGACAGTCAAACAATCAGACAGTCAGACGGTCAGAGAGTCAGTCAGTCAGTTAGTCTGTTATTTTACGATAATCAGTCATTATTCAGTTAGTCATTTGATTACCAAGCCAGTCATTAGATTAGTTAATCAGCACATGTACTCACACAAGTATTTGCGGTCTCGGCTTCAATGCTTTATTTTGCCTCAAACATGGGTACGTTGCATAACTACCTTTAATTATTTTAAAACACATTCACGCTAATCCCTACATGCATAATTCCACCAATAAAGAATAAATAATGTTTCTAGATTTTTGAACTCTAAATTTTTTCCATGAACTGTGGGTGTACATTTGTGCAGACTTTAAAATGTTTTCATAGCAGTAACATTCATAACGGTATAACTATATATTGTCTTTGACACAGCTTTCACTACTCAGATTCATCGCGTACTACTAATATAACTATTTTTTGCTTGAATTCATTTCCTGGTCAGTTGAAAGTTACAGTTTTGCCTTTCTAACCGTACTGGGGCCGAAGCAGTTACTGAAGGAAACAGCCGTACAACTCTCCCCTCATGGCTCTGTATTTACTGGTCCAAGCCTTGGGCCAGAACCTGACAAAACGAGCCCTGATGTGCTGTGGCAACACATGGGATACCACCGTCTGCTGATCACTGTTACCTTGAAATACCTGAAAATGTCATAAAATTTGACAAGAATCACAACACAATTTTCGTTAGAATTAATCAAATATTTATTTTTAAATCTATTTTGATTGTGTGGAACGAGAAAATATGACCATGCTCGTTAAAATATTCCAACCCTGAAAGAGGAGCTGGATCTTACAACAAAAAAATTTGGAGAGTTTGTATCTAATTGATTGATTTTCAGAGATCAATCGATTAATATCTCAGGTCATTCATATTTTTTATATTTAGGTTAACGCGTATAAAAGGGAATTCAAGCTCTTTCACACAAGTGTTGATAATTAAACAAAAACTGCAGGAAACTTTCCATGAGCTCTCTCCGGGTTCGTAACAGAGAAAAATGTGACTTTCAGGCAAGTATCTTTTCAAATACTAGATTTTAATAGACAAGTCAAATTCCAAACAGAGGACTCACCTTCACATCTTCGTTCTCTCTATACGTCAACCAATCAGTCTCTTCGTTGGCACGTGATGAAAGCGTGTAAGTCTTTACCCATTGATAGACACCGCGCTTCCCCTGGGTAGCGATTTTCTTGATCACTGCGTCCTTTCCGAGGTCAACTTGAAGCCAGGGCTTAGGGTCATGGTGGTCTGCAACCCATCCAGAAGGTGAGTTGAGACGAACCAGCCTGGGATGTGTACCCTCGTTCACAAACGATGAAGCACTTATAGCTGAATCTGGAATTCTTCCATCTTCCATACCAAGGGCCTCCATACATGCTTTTAAAAGAAGAACAAGTAACAATTCTTTTATAAAAGATGCTATCCTTACTAACATTGTTTAAGTAATAGGAGTATGTTCCCGTCTCATTTACTTCTGCAGAAGCAAATACCTCGTCCTTCCCTCTTTCCCTGCCACTCTCCCCACAATGCAGAAAGAAAAAAAGAGGCATGCTAGTAAAGCTACATCCCGACGCATAAAAATGACTCAGGAAAAGTGTATGGTCACTTCTACCATTCCACAATTCAATACTTTTTTCAAATAAATGTACCGGTCATACTGACAATAGAACTATAATGGAAATTGAACTAAGAAGGAGGAAACAATGGAAGAATTAAGATATCATTTCTTCCTAAAAGACAAGTGTTTCCAGTTTCGTGTTGAATCAGTAGTTTTAAAATTTCAGTGCATACAGAAAATTGTATTTCTCGCCTTATTTGTTTCATAATTTGCATTAAAGCTTGCAATGGAACTGTCTACAATTTGCTGATATTTCGAATTCCCCTTTTGCGGAATAATTGAACAACAGAAAATAGCACCAAAAATGATAATAATTACAACAACAAAAACAGGAGCAGCGAATTTGCTCTCAAAATGTATAGAAATTATCTTCCAAAAATGATCCCTATTTCCCCTACCTTCATGTATAAAGGAAAAGGGAATTGTTTCGAGAATATCAGCGATTCATGGACCGGCTTTCTATTCGTTCCCAGAATGTTGGTGCATATTTCTTTCGGGCAAACAATTGAGGCCTTATCGCACTTTTCCAAAGTCATTGTCATAGTGCATTTGCGCCACGACCACGACCAAACCAAAACCATCTTTCTCTAGGTCGGAAATTATATTTAAAAAAGGTAACCAACATTACCTTTACATTTTCTGCCACCCTCCACAAGCTCACATATCTCCTGTGGCAGTTTGCATTCAGCGTCAAAGAAGCAAGGCATTAAAAAGGCGTTAGCCATGTACATTGCCAATTCAAAATCCACCATGCTCTCTGGGGACGTCTCCGCACTCATGTTATTCAACTCACAAGTCTTTGCCTTTTAGTAAAAGTTTATGCTTTTACAATTGAGATCCTCGCTGCAGAATATCACGCAAGATTCCATAGTTGCAGATGGTTTGGTAGTGAATGCATGACCTGTTAAGATGCGATTTGGAATGGAGTAGGTTGCGTCTTGGCATTGCGTGACTGAAGATAACGTGTCACGTAATTGCCAGTAGATCATCACAAAGGAAGTTGCTATGACGCCTTTGGGAAGCATCGTGTTCCCCTAGAGTCAAAATATACGACGAATGAAATGATTTGAAAGAAATTAAACTGACGAAA